TATCAATCCAAAACAATACAGACATTGCTGCGAAGAGCCGAAGAATACGCAACCAAAGAATTCATCATTAGATTGAATGTTGATCAGCAGTTTGCTGGATGTTGCAAAGAAATAATATGCCAAGATGATAGATTCAATGAAACAGTTTGGCATGAGCTAACAGAAGTTGAGCTGTGTCTACATAGATTTTAACTTTTTGCTTAATCATGCGATCGGTTACGTATAACGCGCGTTGCGTTTTTGCACATTTCAACGTTTCGACGAGGAGACTAAGGGTTTCCACAAGATGAAAATCAGTAAAATTCGAAAATATGACCGATACTGACTGATTTGCAGAGTTGAAAAACTAGAACAGCTTTTAGGGCAATGAAAAGCACAAGCATGAGTTGGTGTAAAAATCTAAAGATTCAAAGTTTTGGATAAAATTGGACAAAGAAAAGGCAAGGAATGTCAAAGTCTTGCAACTCGAATGGGATAGAGTGGAAAAAAGAAAAGATTAGTATGTTCAAATATTATTCGGCTCTAAAGCAACGTACGTATTGTGTAAACAACCACTAATTCACAAGAGCTAACCTTGTCAAAGTCTTTGCTTTCAAATCGATAAGGCGATAGTTGCGGTAGAGAGGAGAGGAATGAGAGCCGCTCTAATGGCTTGAATGACTCAAGATTATCGTGATGGGCTGGTGTGCTGGGTACGTACGATTTTAACGACGTCGATCCTGCCACAATAGTCTTCTGCAACGACTTCAGCCGAGCAAAAGCGTACAGTCTGATCAACGCAAGAGATATGTCCTCAGGAGGATGGCGCTGAGTTCTGCTCGGCGCTACACTTTCCTCCATCTTTGAATGATCAGGTCTGGATGTTAACTCCTTCTGAATTGCCTCCCTCGAATCACTACGATTTGAGATAGCACTTTTTGGATCCTCTTTGACGTGATTAGAATGATTACGTCTAATTGCTGCTTCCTTCACATCCTTCTCATCGTGTTTTGACTGACTACGCCTAAGAGCCAATTTCTTATCCTTTTCATCGTGCTTTGAGTGACTACGTCTAGGGAGTTTAAAATCCAAATCCTTTTCCTCATGTTTCGAATGATTTCGTCTTGGAGTCAAATCCTTGAGATCATTGTTGTTCTCGTAACGCTGCTTGTTGTTCGAAGTGACGACTTCTCCTCGGTTTGACTGTGGCGAGGATTCTCCCTTCTTCGACCTGCGCTCCCTCCGCTTCTCGCCGCGCATGCGACGCCAGAGACGAGCGAGCCTCCTCTCCAATTTATCCATCCTCAAACGGATCCTCTGTCAGAACGAAAGATCGCTACCTGAACGGGGCAGAGCATCAAGAAGAACCAGCCACTAGCAATAGATGAGCACCGCTTTGCGCTTTTACCCGTTGAGCTGGCTCGAGATGGGGGCGGGGCCTTGGTAGGCGGCAGCTGGCCCGAGTTCGCAAATGCGGGGAACTGTAATAATTGAGTTAGTCTTTAAAAAGTATTTTGACATGGTTAGAGGTAAAAGTCGAGGTACAGATAAACGAAAGCGAAAATTGCGTTAACAACACAATGAGGCAACCACTCAAGGTCAACAAGCTCTTAACGTTTGTTGATCCAAAGGTGACAGCCCTGACTAAGCTATATTCTGACAGCTGATTTTGAAAAAAGTGGTAGAATGAAGCGTCTGAGCAACCGTGCCGGGATGCGGCAGAACAGCGAACAGAGTATGCGCTCAAAGTTGGGCTAAAGCAAACAGAGAAACGTGTAAAAATTGTTTGCTGAAGATAAGATCTCTCAGATCAAGCAACTAATACAAACACTATGCGAGATGACAAAGCTTCAAATTTAGATTCTGGACAATAACTGAAACTTGGACACTGTTAGCTTCAAGGCACTTTCAGTAATTGTAAGGAAAAGGCAAATACTCATGCTTAACAATAGGCAGTCCAAAATTAAGTCCTTTGTTCGATGAGGTCGTGTGGATTGCTCAAACTTTTATCGCAGAACTGTTCGCCAAACAGTTTCGATCCCAACCAAAACAACGAGTCTCTCATGCCTATCACATTCAGTAGAATTGCCAGGTTCGCGACAAATTTACATAAGAAAAGGATTTCACGCGTTCTTGCACAATTCCCTCAAAGGAGCGTTGAAGCCTAGCCAATGGCCCACCTCCATTTGTCGCAAATGATCGTTGATAGCCAAATAAAAGTCTTTCCATTTACTGGG